CCTCCACGGCCGCCACGCCCTCCACGAGGTGCGAAGTTGCCACGAGCGCCGCCACGAGCAGGCCCAGTCGGTGGACCGTTGAAGCGAGGAGCTCTGGCGACCTTTTCTTTCCGTTCAAGAACCTGAACAGCGCCTTGGGCGATCTTGATGGGGCTGGCGGCCATGGCTTTCTTGAGACCATCCGGCTCGGCAAAGTCGACATAGGCGAAGCCCTTACGCTTGTCAATCTCGACTTTGTCAATACCTCCAAAGGTCTTCATGACTTCTTCGATGAGGGGCTCGGTGATACCCTGGCTGGGATTGGCATGCTTCAGGAACGCTTGCTTGCTCGTGGGTGCGGGCACAGGTTGAGCTGGTGCTGCTTTGGGGGCATTGTTGTGCGCCTGGGCGGGTCCCGCATCGGCCTTTGCTGGAGTAGAGTGCGACTGTGTAGGAGCGGGGCTGTTTCTGGCTGCGGCAGGCTCGGTGGGTGGAGCTCGTGAAGCAGCTGGACCCTTGGGAGCCGTCGGAGTCTGAGCCTGAGGCTTCTTCAAGATTTGCGGCGCAGGAGTCTTCAACGGCGTCTGGGGCTTTACATCGCTGGCAGTAGCCTTGTCGTTGGGCTTGTCGCCCTGATTGGCCTTGAAAGCGCGGCGTTCTGCTCGAGTCGGGCGTTCCTTCCTGCTTGCCTGCGCATTCTTGTCCGGAGTTGCTGTTGCTGGTTGTGAAGCAGGCGACTCTTTGGCCTTTTCCTCGACTGCCTTGGTCTCCTTTGCTTGCGCATTGGACTCGGGCGCAGGCGTACCAACCTCGCGCTTCGTTCCACGTCGACGAGTTGGGACAGGTCCTACACCGAGGTCACGCTGCAGCATCGACTTTGCGAGTGCGACGTTACCACGCTTGCGCTCCGGTGCTGGGCTGGCAGAGGTCTTGTCCGCCAAGGCTGAGGCAGATTTGGAGGATGACGCTTCCTTGTTAAGGATCTTGACAGCCTCCTTAGAGGCTTGAGCCTTGTCAGCCTTGCTTATGCGGCGATTCTTATCTCCCGAGTTTAGGGCGTTCTCTTTGCCTGGCTTGGCGAGTATCTTCTTCTCACCATCATCCTTGCCTTCTCCACGACCTCGATTTGCCTTTGCGCTCGGCTTCTCCCTGTTAGCCTTCTTTTCCCGGAGCGCTTCGATCAGAGGAGTGGTTTTGACCTTCTCCTTCTGACCTTCATTCTCGGCGGCCGGGGGCTTGGTGATGGGGTTGGTGAGGCTCTCGAGGAAGTCCTTGAATTCCTGATCCTGGTCGATGGTGCCCTGGCGGTTGTCGTTCCTGCGGCGGCCACCAGGCATCTTCGGGTAGGGAGCGTATTCGAGCGTAGGTGGGCCGACGAGGGCGGGGTCCTGCCATGACTTGGTGGCATCGTGGAAGGTGATTGCGCGCACGTGGTCGCCGAGCGCCTTGACGTGGTCCTGCTTGGTAACATGGATGTATGCGCGCGCTGGCTTGGAGGGTTTGGCGGCACTGAGGGGGTCAACAAGCTATCTTTAAAAGACAAGAAGGTGAAGAGTACTCAGTTGAAATCTTGCCCTTTCTGTAATTCATCCAATCGATCTTGCCAGCACCTAGCTTCCACTCGTCGCCTAGAGCCTCTATGAACTCGGTCTTAGTAAGACCAGGAGGAAGTCGCCGACATATTAGCTTCAGGCGGGGTTGGGCTGCTTTGGGCCCGCGAGGTGACTGGGCCGGGGCGTTCTTCTGGAGAAGTGTGACTGGCAGGACGCCGTTGGGGTTATTCGGAGGGGCCATGAGGGCGCGATGATGCTCGTTTGTGCGTGCAGTCGGTATGCTCGAGTAGATGTTTCTTCTCTATAGTTATCTGTTAGTGAAGGTTGCTTATCACACACAAACACAGTATATACCGTGGTTGTAGTCGTATTCAAGAGCCTGTGCCGGGTGAATTTATCGCGCGTGTCGCTGGGCAGAGGTAAAGTGGAGGAGGGAGCGCCGGTTTGTAGGTGAGGACATTGAAGGGATCACTCGAGAAGGCAGTACCAGACACGGCGATTGTTTTGGTGAGAGTTGCGGCAATGACGCAGCGACAACAGGCGCGCCTTCACGAGACAGTGGGCGAGGGCAGGCGCAACGGCAAGCGCCGAGGGGCGGCAGCTGCCCCACCGGCGCCCGCGTCTCGACTACACCTCAACCACGCCGGTATATCCTCAAGACCCCGAACCTCGCGCTGCACCCGACGCAGCCAATTGCCGCTGACTGCGCACACTTTCACTGCGACCCACGCTGACCCATGATACCCTATAGCGCACCCTTCAGCACCCCCATCGGCACACGACCCGCCTCCCTCCCGCCGCCATTGTCGCCTATCCCGACCTAAACGCACCGCATCGAGCTTCCCCTATTGATCCTGAGCTAGAGCACGACTGAAATATGGGCAAAGATAGCGACGTACCACAGCCAGGGCCCGCGCGCCTCGCAAAGGGCGCAGGGCCGGATGAATGGCTGGAGCAGGCCAAGCAATGCAAGTACCTGCCCGAGGCCGACATGAAGCGACTATGTGAGATTGTCAAGGAGTGTCTGATGGAGGGTGAGTCTCACCAATGCCACATGAGTTATGCAAAAGAAGGAAAGCATGGCTATTGTGCGACATGGTATCTATATCCATATATAAGACTAACCTACATCTGCCAGAATCCAACATCCAACCCGTACGAACACCCGTCACAGTATGCGGAGATATCCACGGCCAATTCTACGATCTGCTCGAGCTCTTCCGTGTCGCTGGCGGCATGCCCAACGACTCCCCTGCCGCGCCCCTCGCACCACCAGTCACATTACCGAGCACAATCAACCCCGCCGATCTCGAGCCTCCTACCAGCATAACAGACCCCAAGGTCAAGCGAAAGATGAAGCGAAGATTCCAGCGCGATCCCAACTACACTGGGCCAACAAGTCCTCCTGGCGGCGATGGCGATGAAGAGGGCGACGACGAAGAGGAGGAGGAACGCGGCCGAAGCAGGAGCGTTCACGACAGGCGAAGTCTTGGTTCGGCATCGGATGCAGACTCCACCAAGAACACAGTGGGTGGAAACGGCCAGCAGAACTTCATCTTCTTGGGTGACTTCGTCGATCGAGGATACTTCAGTCTGGAGACCTTTACCCTCCTCATGTGCTTGAAGGCCAAGTAAGTCAACAGGCACGCAGAACTACATTCACGGTACTAATTGAAACAGATTCCCTGACCGCGTCACTCTCGTCCGCGGAAACCACGAGTCGAGACAAATCACCCAAGTCTACGGTTTCTACGAGGAATGTCAGACCAAATACGGCAACGCTTCGGTATGGAAGGCCTGCTGCCAAGTCTTCGATTTCCTTGCCCTCGCCGCCATCGTCGATGGAAAGGTGCTCTGCGTACACGGCGGTCTGAGTCCGGAAATCAGAACACTAGACCAGATCCGCGTTGTCGCGCGAGCCCAAGAAATCCCTCACGAGGGAGCCTTCTGTGATCTCGTATGGAGTGATCCGGAAGATGTCGACACGTGGGCTGTCTCACCCCGAGGAGCCGGCTGGCTTTTTGGAGACAAGGTGTCTTCAGAGGTATGCATTCATCTTCCTTCCCCCATTACCCCATCGCTGACTGTTGCAGTTCAACCACGTAAACGGTCTCCAACTCATCGCACGCGCCCATCAATTAGTTAACGAAGGCTACAAATACCACTTCAAAGACAAAGACGTTGTCACCGTTTGGTCCGCACCCAACTACTGCTACCGCTGCGGAAACGTCGCCTCCATCATGAACCTAGGCGAGGACCTCAAGCCCGAGTTCCAAATCTTCTCTGCGGTTCCAGATCATAAGCGCGCCGTCCCCGCGGGTCGTGGAGGTCGCGGAGAATACTTCTTGTAGAAGACGCGTATACCGATGTTGTGTCCATGGACCGGAGGAGAGTGATGTTGTCGGCTGCTGTGTATATGCAATCTTACGATACGATGAGAAGCGGAGAATTGAATACCCCTGGGAGATGAACGAACGAATGGCATGTATACAATCTTTGCCTTGACATGGCTTGTACGATATCGCGTTGATGAAATTTTGAGGTAGTACAATGGTACCAATACGTTTCGCATGCGTTATTTCTCCTCCGGGGCAGTCGGGTCATTATACAGCCTACCTGATACCACGGCCTGCTTTTGGTGGCTGCTTACGCGACACATCATGTGGACCTCGGGAGCTTTCACGTGCAATTGCTCGCCACTGCCGGGCCGAGCGCAGAGGTGGCCTGATGCATCTGAACATGTAAGACTCCCGCATTGAGTTTGGCTTGCGATGTAAAAACACTGATCAATCCATCCCGTTCAGTATGTAACGTGTAAATCCTAAAGGACTCATCTTTAGTCACGCAGGAGGTACTCAAAAGGTCAACGTTAACCCAACGGCTTACAGGTGCTCCGAAAATTCCATTTGACTGGGTCCTATATTCTTTGCAGGCCCTGATTGCGAAAGCATGGAGAAACACTCAGGCTGTCGTTTGGAGCGGAAAAACCTAGTCAGTGAGGGGGTGGGTTTGTCCCTCAAGAAGGCGGCTCTCGTTCAGCCTTGTCATCAGCCCCCAATCTCTTATCGGTAGCCTTCCTGCATGTCCGTCTCGATAACTCTTGGCAAGCCTTTTTGTCAGAGAGCTGAAGAGAGGATGCGTTCTTTGGGCAATCATCTCCGCGAGCAGCCCTCCTTACCACTCGGTCTCGGCCCCCTTCTTCTTGACATTGCCGCCGCTAGTGTTGAAGCGCTTTACATCTGCAGTCAAGTTTGATTCCTTACCAATAGACTAACTCAGCCTGGCTTCTTTGATACCGTGCCTAAAAATGGGCTTGAGACGCATGGCTACGGATTCAGTTTCGATGCGTTGCTCGGTTGCGGGGCTGTGCACCACAGGATAAGTAGTGCACCAGACCTTTTGTTGGAACGTAGCCTTGATGTCTTTCTTGACCAAATCCTTGTCATCTTTCGTGCTCAATTGCCTCACATGGCGGACCCGATCAGCATCGTTGGCCTCGCATTGACGGTCATACAGATTCTCCGTCCAGCAGTTCAACAGTTGAAGGATGCGTACTCCAACGGAGGCAGCATTCATCAGACTCTTGATGAACTCCGAGCCGACTCAGAGGCTGTTTGCGACCTGATCGACAACATACATCGCGTTCTCAGCACCCCGAGCTTCGTCGCTGCGGTGGAAGAAGTGCAAGGCGCGTCGCAGGTCAACTTGCTAGAATGTCTCCAACGAGCTCTTCAAAGCTGCGAGCGCGAGGCCCAAAGACTCAGCAATTTCATCTACGATCTCGATATCTCAGGGGCTACGGGCCGCCTAAGGCAGGGCGTGCTTCAGTTCAAGCTTGATAGACGCTCGGATGATCTCCAACACATCAAGCGCAACTTCCAGGATCATAAGAGCTCAATTCAGTTGGCGTTTACGGTTGTCTCAACGTATGTCGTCCCCTTTTGAACAATGAAGGCAATGACTGACGAATTATCCCAGCTGCAAGCAAATGCAGGTTGCTGAACGTGATGCTCTCGATGCCGCAAGCCTGAAAGCTCAAATCAGCAGACTCGAGGTGGCCTTGGAGCAAATCGGAAAATTGCTAAACGAACGGCTAGCGGCGCCAGGTGACAAAGAGCAGACAGTGATGCTGGATGAAATGCGAGAGCTCCAGCATAGATCTGCAAAGGTCCGACGCCGAGCCACAATGCGACTCGACCAGATTACGTCTATACTCGAGGAGACGCAGAGCTCACGTCCTATGGTTGACAGGACCCGCCCTCCTGTACCACCGCGAAGGGCCTGGAAGGATCACCAAAAGCCGCCTGCAGGATTTCGCCCGCCAATTGACCAAAGCCCAGCCTCGAAGGTACCATCAACTCCAACCACCCCAAGAGCGGAGAAACGCGTTGCAAGCATGCCGGCCACCCCGACCCCATCGACAATCCCGCGAGTAAACGCCTTGAGCCCGGACACGAACAAGTCAGCCTCACCAGTGCTACCTGCCACCCGTCTTTCAGACATGACTACAAATGGTCTACAGATAGATGCTGAAGACTTCGAGGAGAGAGTTCTGTCACTTTTATCGACCGCGTCCACTCAACGTATGGGTACCGAGAAGCCATACAACGACGAGACAATTCTGGCGCTCGGGGAACTACTCGCAATGCTTGGAAAGCATGACTGGAGTGTACGACCCAGACTATATCTCGTGCTCCGCATGATCAAGGAAGTGCGAGCGATGAACATGCTCATTGTCGAAGGGTTCAAGGACATTCACTTCCCTTTCACTGAAGTCGACCTTACTTCCAGTCTCAAATCTGCTGCTTCCAGGCAAAACTTTCTTCGGGAACAACGGTTTGTACTCAGCTCAAGATCAGTCGATCTGGTACAAGGAGGTCGTCATCATCACCTTGGTAAGCTACACTTCTGTACACCGTTCGCTGCTCAGGTGCTGACCTTCGCCAGACAAAGGTGCAGATTCTTATTTTGTCATTAAGGAGCAGCTTGGGAAAGGCGGCTTCAGCATTGTCCATCGTGTCGAAAGCAGAATTGATTTGATCGAGTACGCTGTAAGGACTTATGATGTGTTTTGCTAGAGGGTTGACTCATCAGCAACAGTTAAAACGCATCGATCGAAGGAGCGGCACATTTTCAAAGGACCGCAAGAAGCTGCTCTCATTCGAGAACGAGGTCCATAACCTCAAGCGACTGTCGCACCATCATCTGGTGAAGCTCCTAGGGTGAGTTTGGGCAAGCCGAAATACAGTGCGTCGCTAACGAGTAATGTGTCAGTTCATACACCGATCGAAGATACATTGGCATCATCATGGAACCAGTAGCTGATCTCGATCTGCAACAATATCTGGCCCGGGATGCGTGGACCACACAAGACTATGTCGTCCTTCGGGGCTTCGTGGGATGCTTGTGCTCCGCTCTGGTCTATCTCCACGACAACAAATGCCGCCATAAAGATCTCAAGCCGTCCAATATCCTGATCAAAGGCGAGCAAGTGTATATAGCGGACTTTGGACTCGCTTTAGACTGGACTGAGGCGCAACGAGAGACTACGATGGGCCAACCCGAAGCTTATACACCGGCATACATCGCACCCGAAGTGAGTTCAGCTACGCATGATGACCTGAATCCTTGTTGACACTATCTCAGGTTGGCATGCTGCAACCCCGTAATACCGCTTCAGATGTATGGTCCTTGGGATGCATTTATCTGGAGATCGCCGTGAGTTAAGAGTTGCTTATGTGTATGTTTCAACATCGCTGACATTTCTAGACTGTTCTTACCAAGAGACAACTGCGATCAAAGGCTGAATTCTTCCAAACCACAGGGACACTGTCAACAAATTATTGGCAGAATCCAGAAGCAATCCAGAGTTGGATAGCCGAGCTGTCGATGGGATCAACGACTGATCAGCCCTTGTTACAATGGACCAGTAACATGACCGCCAGTGTTCCTAAACTCAGACTCACAGCTCAAGATCTCCAAGCAATGATAACAAAGGAACAAGCCAGAGGAGTCCATTACAGCGGTCCATGTTGTGTAAGTGAGGGTTTGTCGGGGGACGGAAGTGACACAACATCTTGGGCAGGCTCGCAGTCAGAAGATGAGATCTTCCAGACGGCCGTGCTGAGTGATGGCATGTCGGATGAACCTACCGTCATCAACAACACTACGACGACATCCATCGGCAGTGACGTGACGCTCCAGGCACCTCCCCCAAGCATCGAAAAGATAGTATATACACCTCTCCATGTACCGGATTACCTCGGTCATCATTCCACGGGAGGTGTCGGTCAGTCGCACCCTATATGGCTCAACGTCGGGAACGATGCAAATGTACCATTCTGCGCCACACCTGCAGCTGTGACCGAGGATAGCTACCCAAGACCGACAAGGGCTAGTATGGAAAAGACCAACGATGTGGACAAAGCTCGCGCCGATATACCGGAGATGCAAGCAACGAAACCGAAACACATAGCCAGAGATCGCACAGGCAAACGTACCGATCATGAGCACGAAGCGGCTCACTTGCGGTTCGTGCATATACCAAAGGCCGCCGAACCCACGAACGAAGAAGACTCTTCTACTGCCATCAGTCTTGCGGAAGCGTTTGCAGCCGATGACGGCGCATTCGAATATCACTTGGCCCTTCTGAGGGAGAAGAATCCAAACTGGAGAGATGAAATCACCGGTCTAATCGCGGCAGAAGCGCTTGACAAATACGGGGCCAACGTTATGCTTGTCGCCAGCAACTTCCGCGATGACTCTCTCGCACGTGATGTGATTGAGCACGCCCTCATTGTGGAGCCACAGATCATCCATCAACGCGATGTGTTCAATCAGACCGCATTGCATTATTCGGCGAACAGGAACAGAGCTGGTATCACGAAGTACTTGATCAAGAAAGGTGCCAATGCGACAATCACGAACTTTCGAGGCCAGACCGCTTTCCATGTTGCAATCCATCGACGCCGCTTAGCGACTTACCAAATTTTGCTCCGCTACCTTGGCGCTGCCGATATCAATACCAAGGACGATTGTGGTGAAACTTCACTGCATCTGGCCTGCTATCATGACGCGCCTACTGAGTTCATTCTGAGTATGTTGGCGGCTGGTGCTGACGCAAATGTCGAAGACCTCTCTGGCAATACACCACTGACGATCAGCGAAAAGATTGGCAACCTGGAGATAGCCGATTTACTACGAGAGTATGAATCGGACGAACCCGGACTTTCTCCGCCACCGCCACCGTATCAGAGCACACTTTCGCTCGCCCGTCAACCGGAGCCCACTGGTTGCACGTGTGATCTCTGCCGTTTGTTCCAGGCAGTCCGCAAAGTCGACGATCTCGTCCCCGATCTGGCGGATTGCACGTGCACCTATCATCTGGTACGCCTCTCGCTCAAGACGTTGAGCGATGTGAACTACATCATGTCATGTCTGAGTTCGTGCATGTGTCGGTCTTGTGAAGGGGAGCGTGCCCTGAATGAGGATCGAGAGCCTTGCATTGACTTTCCATCTTGCGACTGTGAAGATTGCGTCGCTCAGATCAGCCCACCGGGGCCGTTCACAAATCCTCCTTCGCTACCCCACGGCGATGATTTCGCTGGCATGCCGCTACCTCCGTATCCAGATCATAGCTATTACGACTATATCATCGATGAGTGGACCATTGAGGACGATACAGACCGATCACCACAAGATATCACCGCACAGGCCTTGGCCTGTCTTGCCCAAGCCGGATTCAAAGGAAAGAAGTCCTATCGGAATGAGCCGGAAAAGGCCCTTAAATGGGTCATCAGCAATAACGCCACTACACCTTATGTCTACAAGATTGTGGAAATTCTGCTAGACTGCGGAGCATCGGCCAATACGACAGACAAGAGTGGGTGTACTGGCCTTCACATAGCTGCTCGAACACAAGACGTTCGTCTAGCCATGGTACTAATTCAACGTGGCGCATGGCTTGACGTGCCTCGTCAAGCGATGTTCGCAGCTAAAGCGGATTTCACCCCTCTCAGGTACGCGCTCTGGTTTGGAAACGCGCTATCGCTTCGACAGCTCTTGTCAGTAGGCGCAAATATCAATGACCAGTCCGTATACGGTCGGAGTACGCTACTCCACGATGCAGTCACAAGCTTCGATCTCCTAGGCTGGCATATACCGATGCTGTTAGCGCATGGGGCCGACACAGAACTGGCAAATGAGGACGCAAACACACCACTCCATCTAGCAATCTCGCTGAATCAGATATTCGCTGTAATTGCGCTCCTAGATGCGGGAGCCAACATCGAAGCCATCGGGAAAGCTGGCGCGAAACCGCTAGCTATGGCGCTTGAAGGCGGCAACTACGGCATCATCACTCTTCTCCTTGATCGCGGTGCAGACGTACACTCACGTGCTAACGGCATGACATGCGCGCTATTCTACGCAGTTCAAATGGGCTACGTCGATATAGTAAGCATACTCCTTGAAGACTACGGAGCGAAAGAGGACATGCATCGCACTGACTTCACAGGCCGGAGTATTCTACACGTGCTTGTGTATACACACGTCGACCACATGCTCCATATACTCGACAGGTTGATCGAAGAAGGCGCAAACGTCAATGCAGAGGACTACTCTGGGTCGACGCCGCTACATGAAGCTGCGAAGCTGGGGAGTACTGTAATGGTCAGTGGGCTGCTGGAATATGGGGCTACGATGAATGTACAGGATCGTCAGGGCAAGACCCCGTTGGATCATGCGCAGGCGAAGAAGCATCGCGAAGTCGTGGAGTACTTGGGTGGGACATTGAAGAAGAAGGGTTGGTTTCGCAGGAGTTAGGACTTGCTTTCTATGCGCATTAATGACCTACTTCCGCATCGCAATGAATTTTGTAGTTTAATACGATTTCAACTGTCTGATATCAAAGATATCCTTACACCCAAGAATGGTAAGCTGAATACGGTTACTTGGAGGATCGTACGTATGGTGTGTATTGAACAGGCTCGACGCCACTCTTCAGTCCGGCATATCACCAGCCACGCCTCTTTTCCCTAACGAAAGAACCGAGAAAAAAAAGCTCATTCAACAGAAACAAAACCGTGACCGAGAGACAAGTTATTGAGTGACGTGTGTTGGCGCGTGGGGTCGATCGTGTGACGTGTGTTTGCTATGTAGAATACAACGACAAACATGGTTGTCTGGCACTCACGACCCTACTCGCCCTTGGACTTGCCCAAGCGGGGCAAAAACTCATTTGTAGAGTTTGTCACACGGCTGATGACGGGACCAGCCCGTTGGGTGGGTGAAGCGGATCCGTGACTTGGGAATCGGGGTTATTATACAGCCCACCTACGCCCAACAAACCCTCTCTTACCATATCCAACCAGGCTATTACCTCCCTACATGCAGGATACACAACGGGTGCATCAGCATCGAAAGCCCGCGCTACCAGCATGGACTTCCAAGTTTGGGAGGCTCTCTTACAAACAGCTCAAACGCAAAAGCTCCGTCCCGTCAGTACCAATTTGACGTTCGACACGATATGGTACACCATGTGGTCCCAGAAACATTGGCGATTGAATTTCGAGAATGCACCGCCTCCAAAGGATGCGCAGTTACAGCCCTGCTTTCTCTTGAAGATCCCAGCGTCACACCCTCCGGATTACGCGCAGATCATACAGCAATTAGAAAAGGTCCAGGCCAAAGACGATGTGACTAGCTCAAGCTTTCTTCAACATGTCGTGGTCGCATCTCACGGCCGCTCGAGTTTGGAACTGGAAGCCGAGGTCGCAGCCGCGCTGAACGCTCGAGGGCTGCAGACTCTCACACTTGCGACCTTGCAGAGTGGCTGTGACATTGAGACCGGTCCTCACCTGCTGCATGGTAGTGACCTCTGGAAGGTGGCTAGACTGTACGATGATACTAATGGGGCTTTTATGGCTGCTATTCGTCCAGGTGAAGAAGAAAAGTGAGATCTGCCCCGCATTCTAATGAATAATGTGCTAACGTCGTACCAAACAGATGTGAGAATTTGCGGCTGTGTAGCGACCGATATCAGACGCTTAACGTTGCCATACCGTCACGAGCGAGTGCTCTCAATCTGACTGAGCAAGAATCGGACTTGCGACTAAGCGGTATGAGGTTCGCAGTAAAAGACATGTACTCCGTCGCTGGCTTGAGAACTTCTCTCTGCAGCCGACCGTACTATGCAGTTTCGGAGCGAGCGGAAGTGACCGCTCCATGCATCACGAGATTGTTGAGCGAAGGTTGTGCTATGGTCGGGATGCTGAAGTTGAGTTCCTTCATTGGACGTGAAGAGCCGACTGAAGCCATAGACTACCAAGCACCGTTCAACCCCCGCGGAGACGGCTATCAATCACCGGCTGGCAGTAGCAGCGGAAGTGCAGCGGGCCTTGCGTCTTACGCGTGGTTGGACTTCACCCTTGGATCTGACAGTAAGTCAAAGCCTCAGCTGGAGATTCGATCCTAAAGCATAGTAGCTACGGGAAGCGGGCGTCGCCCGGCATTTATGAATGGCTTGTTCGCACTGCGTCTTTCTACAGGGCGTCTGGCACTCGAAGGAATGGTGCCGACTTTCGAGTAAGTTCATGCTATTGCGTGATTGATGCGATGGGTTCACTGATCGTCAGTCGTTTCGACACGCAATGTATCTTCGCTCGCGATATCGACAAGATGGATACCATACTCCAAGTATGGCTCGACAATTGCGACATCGCAAAACTCAAGGCTAATGTGAGTTCAATCCGGACGGTTTGCAATCATATCGTCGGCTGTTTTTGATCATGATTAGCTGCCGAAAAGACTCCTGTATCCAGTGGACTTCTTCCCAGTCAACAACGAAGTACAGATGCAGCACGTGAAGAGCTTCGTCCAGGATTTCAGCGATTATCTGCAAGCGCCAGTCACGGAGATTGACTTATCACTGGAATGGGAAAGGTCGCACCCAAAAACCGCGGATGGTGATTCACTAGATGGCTACTTGAGCGAGGTCTGGCTTCATTGAATCATCGCGATAGCGATGCTGACGTGCCCTAGGTCTCCACTAGAACCTTTTTGTATGACTTCTATCACAGCTTCGACAAGTTCCGTGAAACGTACAGGCGCGAGTTCCAGAAGGAACCTTACGCCAATGAGTACACACAGTGGAGATGGTGCGCACCGCCGTCTCGGATACTGACGTAATCTAACTTCGCGCCAGGGATTTCGCCAAGTCAATAACGAGAGAAGAGAACGAGGATGCTGTAACCCGCCTCGACACATACAGAGACTGGCTACTCTCTGAAGTGTTCCAGGCGGACAGATACGACACATTCATGGTGCTGCCAGTCTCAGAGGTCGCACCAAACTACAGAGATCGGAAGACAGAGCCACCCAGTAAGCAGAACGCGTTCGATGCGCTGTACATCTCGCCCACTATCGAGGCTCCCGAAATTGTCGTTCCAAGTAGGTCGTACGCCTGTAGTAGAAGAGATTGGGCTGATGAGCTCGTTCAGTTGCAGAATTCCCGTACACATCTCGGGTGAGTGGGCGCGAGGAGAAGCTTCCAATTGCAATATCGGTAGTAGGAAATCCTGGTGAGTCTTCTCTCTTTGCATGCGTCAGGAGCAAGTAAGGTCGGCTAATGCTGTTGTAGGTACCGACCTGGCACTCGTTGGTCTTGTGAGGGATTTTTTGAAAGCTTCCAAGAGACACATGCGCGTTTCCATCGGATCGTCGATGTTCGATAGCAGCTGTTTCTAGAAGCCTGCAAGACTGAAATGCTGAAACGGGCTGTATTAATGAGAAGCGCTTAAGGTCGTATGTGCAAATCACACCTGGGCAGGATGAGTAAAGTGCGCTTTTGACTCAGACTGCGGTCTAGGTAGTCCTGATTCGAGATGGCCATTGAGATTGTATGTCGGTATACGGTATGATTGAGATACCTAGGTAGCTTTGATGATGTGAAAGACATCCTGGCTCGGACGCCCAATTGAAAGTGGGGGAGCTGCCTGCATCTCCGACCCAATCACAACAGCCCAGGCCGCGACGGCCCACCTGAGCCGCTACTTTCCTGCTCCGGTGATAAGCCCCTCCTACATCCTCTTCAACATCAATCGCATCCTTCATCTTTGGCATTGCGCCCTATGAACAGATTCATCGTCGCATTTCGACCATACATAGCGCCTGCTCGTACTATGTATTACTGCAACTTTCAACCCACGAATATACAATTAGCAGACCAAAGACTCCCGCTTCAGTTTGCAAGCGCAATAAGCGTATCATGTCGTGGCGCTCACGAGGTTGAAGGCTGCAGTCGATTGCGCCTCTGGCGTCCAGACTATCTATTCAGCTGCGATTTGAGAGGTTGTAGTATTGCTAGAGTGTTTCGTGGCTGAATCCAGCCTCTCCAACTAAAGACTTCAGCCGCACCCGAACTTAGCTAGCATACGGAAACCTTCATGGAGGGATATGCTTATAGCCCGCCATTGCTCACCCACTTTATTCTCCACGCCTTACTAGAAGACCCATCCTTTCATTACACGCCTACTCAGAGATCACTCTTTAGAAGTGTGCTATAGATGGGCTGGCGACATGGCGGACACTACCACTCCTACAGCGAACAGTCCAATACCCGCGACAATCTCCATCTATGGCCTGACCGAGCTCACTCAAGGCGACGAGGTTCGAGAATTTGACATTGTTTTTGTACATGGCCTACAAGGTCACCCGGAGAGCACGTGGACGTTTGCCGAGGGTACTAACAACCAAGCATCTACCAAACCACCTTCCAAGGGTTCCTTTTTCCGACGGTCAGCAAAAGCAGCTGCAACGGAGCCCGCAGCCGATCTGCCCGGAACTTCTCCACCGTCAAACACCTTTTGGCCGCGAGACTTCTTGCTCGAGGATTTCCCCAAAGCGCGCGTTTTCACCTATGGCTATGATTCCTCCGTTAGCCACTTTTTCTCTGGCCCAGCTAATCGCGACAACATCCTCGACCGTGGACGAGACCTGCTCGAACGGCTTGCTCCTCAGCGTGAGAAAGTGCGAGGTCGCCGCATCATTTTTATTGCGCACTCTCTTGGTGGTTTAGTCGTCAAATCGGTAAGTCTTCTCTGGGTCTCATCATCACCTAATAGTGTTCGGTCAATTGACATTTCCTCAAAATAGGCCTTGAGGCTATCTGCCGAAGCTGAGGATGAAGATGAAGACCTGAAAGACATACTGGCATCAACGGCGGGCGTCTTGTTCTTCGGTACCCCTCATCGCGGGAGTCTTTGGGTCAGCACGGGCAAGATCATCTCCCGTTTTGCCAAAGCGATCGGCTTCTCGACGAGTAACATCAACCTCGATTTGCTCACGCCGAATGACGCAATGCTGCAAATACTAAGAGATGACTTCAGAAAAAAGCTGGATAAACAGAAAATGCTCTATGTTACGTCTTACCAGGAATCGTTAGGGTACAAAGGCTTCAACGGCTTCGATGAAAAGGTATGAAACCCGGCAAAGAACTTTTAGAAAAGCCTGAATACCTGACGCTACCCCCATTATAGATTGTAGACCCAGACTCTTCAGAAATTGGACACGCAAAAGAACGGCGCCTGCCCATTACCGCCAATCACATGAACATGTGCAAGTTCAGTAGGACGGGTCCGACTCGGGTTGATTATGAGCAAGTGGTGAGACCCCAGATAAGCACGCATATGAACAGAGTGTACGAAGCACTGCGGGAAAGTACGTGATTCTCTGGCGGGAGGCTCAAGCCTTCGATTTTGGGCACGCTGTCTAATGAATTCACGATAGGAAATGAGTCTTTGTTCAAACACTTTTCCGATGCCTTGACGTTGAAAACCAACCAGATTAACGAAGCTCATGATCGCACGCTCTCGTGGCTCCTACAAGCGGATCAGCAAGGACCCGGCCTAATGAATTGGCTTGCCGTTGAAGAAGGCATATTTTGGATCCAGGGTGTGCCAGGCTCCGGGAAATCTACTGTGATGAAGTACCTTTGCGAGTCGGGCGACGTCGCCAGAACCCTAGAGACATTCGATTGGTCTCATGCAGCAGTTTTCTTAACGCGCGAGATTGAGCAAGAGAACAGATCCTGGAAAGCAGTCGTCGGTGCAATCGTGTACAAACTCTTATCTTTCCACCCCGCCCTTCATTCCATCATCGAACCGTTGGTCGCTTCCCATGGCCAACAAAGTTCCTTCTCTCTAGAAGAGCTTGAGAGGATTCTGCTTCTATGCAAGTCGCAGAAAATAGTCAAGTTTCGCATGTGTCTTTTCATAGACGCCTTGGACGAGAGTGACAACGATGAGAAGAATTGGGAATATATGGCCGACTTCTTGGAGTTCCTGGTAACGAATGAGAGTGACCAAGGGTTTGGTACCTTCAAGATATGTGCCACCAGCCGTCCGGAGAGCGCGTTCGATGTCCGATTGAAGGATCGACCTGGCTTGCGCGTGCAGGATTGGACCAAGGGGGACATATACTATTATGTCCACAGCCGATTGGAATCCCATCGGCGCGTGCGAGACATGGCTGGAGATTCGGAATTCTGCGATCAGCTGCAGGAGATCTGCAGGTTCATTGTTGATCAGGCAATGGGCGTGTTTCTTTGGGTTCGCCTGGTCGTCGACAGCGTGCATGTTAGCCTGTCACGAAGCGAATACTTGGGGAACGTACGAGCGCGACTATTGAACCTTGATCAGACAAACACACAAATGGCTGAGCTCTACTTGTCCACACTCGACAGCATACCGGTAGAGACTCGCGGAGAGACGGACGCCATCTTCAGGACGCTCCTGGCGGCGGACAAAGCGGTGAGTGTAATGGATATCGGTGTTCTTCTCGAGGTGATTCCATATCAAACCTTTACCGAAGACGGTTATGCAATTGAGCCCCGTCCGATATTGGATATGAGTAGAAGTGGCCCTAGATTGGAGCAGCGCATAAGAGACGCAACGGGAGGATTGGTGCAGGTCGTTATGCCAGAAGGATACAAGGAAGCCCTGGAAACGTGGGAGGCAATCAGGAGATCGATTGTTGCCAAACCTTCGACCGAGCCCGGAGAAGATGATTATGCACACGAAAAGGCCAGGATCGCTTCAAGAGATGAATTGCTCGCAGGGATAGTGTCAGGTGTGCATGACGAGACTGTCAGCTTAACCAATCCTGAGGCTTGCATCGATGCGTTTCATTGGTGTGTGCAGAACTCAATGCTTATGCCAGACGCCACGGTCTGGACTGTTCAGTTCCTCCATCAGACAGTGAGGGAATTCTTGACAACATCTGACACAGATCTGATTTCGAGGATAAACGACAAATTTCCCCCACCACAGGAGGGATTCATGGTAGCTGGCGCCATGTACCATATCTCAATCGCACTCGCCTATATTCAGCTGAGCGACGCCCTGCGAGAGGAGTCTAGATGGACCCTGGAACCAGCAGAGATCATGATGAGGTACGCCCCCGAGTTGGACCTTTTGGAAGGAATGAAATCCTACGACCTGATCCACGCTCTTGATCGATGTTTATCAAGGTCGACCGAAGGGAAGGCTTACTGGCCAGGCTCACGCCTGCAGCACCCTCCAGCCTGGAAAACAACATTCCTGGCATTCGCAGTGAGCAACAACATGTGCGCTTTTGTCTCGGAAGCGCTGAGAAGACAACCTGATCTCATCAAAAAGCCCGGTCGACCGCTGCTACACTATGCAGGCTGGTCCCCGGGCAAGTATCCGAACCCTACCATGGCTGACATCCTTCTGTGCGCAGGAGCGAACCCAGGCTGGGTCTTTGACGAGTCGCCACAGATATCCAAGACAGCGTTAGAAAGCCTTTTCTTCGGACACGTTCAAGAAAATGGGGCTTTACACTTCGAGTACATGTGGACGCTCGCGCATTTCTTTGACGACTCAGGTTTCGACTCCCGCGTTCCCTGCCCTTCTGGACCCGATCTTATTGTCCACGCCATGTCCGAACACCCCGAAAAATGGACTGAATGGACCACCATCTTTCACTACATTGCCGCAATGCCCGTACCACTCGCGGACAAGATAGAGTTCTTTAAGAAATTGAGGACACTGGTCGATAACTCCAACGTTCGGACTTACGACAATTGTATGAACGTCCGCGACTCAAACAAGCGGACCGTCTTCGAAGCTCTGCTCCAGAACGCAAGTCCAGAGGATGTGACGCCAGAGATGGCCGGTCGCATGCTGCGGGGCCTGAAAGCCAAGATCACAATGGAGATGGTGCGTGTCAATTTCGAGTCGTCGAAAGACGAGGATGAGACGCCAATCGCGTGCCATATGCGCGCGGTGACTCCTGTGTTCTTCAGGGAAGAGTTTAGAAAAGATCGCTACTACACTAGTGGGGCTAAGAGCCTCATTTCTAGTCTCAATCCCCTTCATCTGGCTATTGCCAGCAGTACGTGGCTACCGCTACGTATCTACTTCCGCGTCGTCGTGCTGTGGCCAGCGCTGTCCCAGATCTTGATCTGTGTGCTCACGTCACCGGTAGGATTACAAATATGCAAGTATCTGCTCCTTGGAATTTGCTGCTTGCTGGTTTGTGGAGCTGTAGCTGCGGTGTTGTGGTTTGGCTTGTACGTGTACTTCGAAATGAGGAAATCAGAAGCTTTTGGAGCTTATGCTGTAGCGGCGGCGAAGGCGAAAAAGAAGTAAATATAGCTAGAGGTCTATATTACAGCACCTAGCTTCGTAGAACACAGGTATACCTCTGGCTTACAACGCTGGGAGATACCATGCGTGCGCACTTCGATGATTCGTCAGATAATCTACCAAAGTTTACATGCATTTCACTATAAGTATCAAGTAGTTCTTAGAAACATGCTTCGTTGAAGCTTGAAGCGTGATGTACTACCTAGGCAAAGAAATGATGACTCTCCTTGTATGAAAGTGGTCTTCAATGCAGAAGCATTCATGCCGCAAGAAGACGTGTTGCAAGCAATAGCGATATTTTAGCGCGTTTCTAGATAAAGAGACACCTTCGCGAGACAGATTCGCAGTCTAGGGTTTGAAGCAACGGCTTGAGCGACGACGAACTCAAGGAGCAAACCTAAATCCTTTCATCCTCGGCACGATCGTCATATCCCGGATATCGTCATGGCGAAACGCCCAAGCCAGAAAGCGCTCGATACCCATACCCCAACCCGTTGTTAGTATCGATTTGTGCTCTCGAAGCTCAGTGTACTAAGCATAGCCCTCTAGATCAACTTCATGCTTCTCGAGCGCAGCCCGCACTTGTTCAGCGGTTGTGTGACGTTCACCAAGACCGAGAACCCCTCTCCGTTTCCAAGTAAAAGGTCTGCGCAACGCGCTTTTGCGCATGTCTTGTCTGTGAACGCCTGATAGAAGGGTACGCTCAAGTGATCCATCTCAGTAAGCCAAACACCAGGTCACACCTCCCAGCTGAGCGAAGTAGCACCGCCCGCCGATTTGAGTAGCAACTAGACGTCATCTTTCCTCCAAAAACCTCAGTATCTCCCTAGCAACTTCTTCAGGCGTACTATCAGTCGTGTCAAGGCTCAACCCATCACAGCCATCAAACCGAAAGATATCGCATCTCTCCCTAAAATCCCTCAGACGTTCAGGATCAGTGAGCTTTTTGGCACTACCGTTAACGCGTCCAGCAGCAGCAACTCGCCTGATGTTTTCCTCGACATCGCAAAGAATATAGACAGGCTTGAACGGACGTCCAGCCTGTCTGGCTGCTTCCCGATACTCTTCCGCAACCTTTTGTCCTAGTGCGTTGTCGGACTGGTAATCTTCATCATCATAAAATCACAACAATCAGCAAAGTGTTAATAGCGAAGGGTACATAGGATTCTTACCGGTGAAAACGACGACTTGCGATAACGTAGCCGGGTTACTGACGTATTCTCTGAAGATGTGTTGCCGATACCGATGGCGTTCTTCTTGGTAATCGGGGTGACTTCGTTGGAACTTTGCTTCCACGGGGTCGATCAGCTTGTGGTTGTCCAGGAGGATCATGTCGGTATGTAGGGTCTTCATGACGGAGGCGATGGTAAGCTTTCCGCAGCCTGGAAAGCCGTTGATCCAGACGACGGGTGCTATGTTGGTCGTGTTCATGATGTTGGCAGTTGCAAAGGCGTAACCTGTCGCGCGGATGTGGAAATTGTTAGTCGGTGTATCATCAAAGTCTAACTGTGATATAGAACGAAGATTCGTGGTTTGAGGGGCGCGTATAGATATAGGCGGCCAGTTCGACGACATGAGTCACTGTTTGCGGCCCATGGTTGTGCACACCACGGGGAGGTACGCGACGTCATTGGTTAGCAAATAACACTTTGAACCACGGTTTCGTGACACCCAAACGGAAGAAAGGTAGCATCTCATTCAGCCTCCACGGCTACACCACCCCATCACTTCAACGTATCAACCAACTCCCTATAAATCTTCTTCAAATCCCTCACATCGCCCTCCAACTCCTCGACCCTCTCCGTCTTCTCGCCCAACATCTCCAACGCCGTCATCTCCCTATTCTCCATCTCGCCCAGCCTTTTTTCCAAATCCCCCACCTTCTCCCCCTGTTTCCTCGTCTCATCAACCTCACGCATGAGCTTAACAACTTCTTCGCGGGCTTCGTCGCGCTGGGCAGTCAGACGAGAAAGTTCCTCTTTGTGGGTCGCTTTTTCGGATTCTAGACGCCGGACTGCGGCGCTCATGCGCTCGACGAGTTGGACGGAGGGGCCGGCGCCGGCGGTGGAGACGCTGATCATGTCGTTTATTGTGCGGTGGGGGGAGGATGTATTCTCGAAAGGGTCGTTGTCGTGGTCGATGGTGTGGATAGACGGGGTTTCCAGGCCGCCATTGAGGTTGGACATGCTTGATGGAATGGAGTCTTGTCGTTGGGGCGTGCCGAGTTCGGGGGTGCGCACTTTTGTCGCGTTGCTGGATTTATTGTGGCGGGAGGAAGAGGGGCGGCGCGAGGCTTCGTCGAACATGCGGTCCATGGGCGACATCATGGGCATGTCCATGCCGCTGGATATGGAGCGTGGGTTGGGTCGCCGGCTGTATATGCCCAGTGGATCGGGCGAATGCCGGCGTTGTGCTATTGAAGGTGAGTCTGTTCGTAGATGATGAGAATCGCCTAGTAGAGATGGCGTCTGTATCTCCACCTTCCACTTGTTCTTCTCTTCCTCTAGCCGTTGTTGTAGCTCGACTTCCCACAACTTCTTTTCTCGTTCAAGGTCGGCTCGCGCATCTTGTGCTGCGGTCTCCGCTTGTGTGAGCCTAGTTTGTAGCTTCTGAGCTGCGGCACGCTGTTCGGTCAGATCATGTTCGAACGTCCTAGCTCGCTCGTTGATGCTCTCGAGCTCGTCTTCCAGTCGGCGTGCTTTCGAGTTGACTTCTCTTGCTTTTCGTCGGACATCAGACTCGCGCTTTGCTGTCTCATCACGGTCTTTCTCAAGAGCTGCCATACGAGACGTCAAAGTGGTCTCGATACCCTGCCAGTTCTCGGAAGCCAGCGAGTACTGGGTCTGCAGCGTCTCAATCTGTCGCAGGAGCTTGGCTTGTGAGTCGCCAGTCGCAGATGAAGACGCCTCTTCTGTGCGGCTGCGAAGCAATTCCAGTTTAGATTCCAGGTTCTAGAGTTCTGTCAGTGTCCATTTGTGCTGTAAGCGCCGTCAAAACTCACAGCAATCTCGCCGCGCAACTCAAGCTCGGCGACCTTTGATTTCTCTTGCTGGCTCTTCGCTTCGTCTCTGGCCGCCTGGAGCTCCCTCTTCGCGCGATCTTCGGCAAGCTTCTTTTCTATCCGGACATTCTCGATATCCTCTTTGAGTGACGCAGTGGCTCTCTTCTCTGCTTCCAGCGCTCCAGATTGGGCTCTCTTCTCAGCATCTTCAGCCCGTGAGAGCGCGTCGTTGAGTTGCTTCCGCAGCTCAGATATAGTGAGGCCAGCCTCCTCGCGCTCAGCTCTGATGGTCTCGATGTCCTTCTCGATCCTGCCCACAATCTTCAGCTTTTCTTGCGCAGACTTTTCTGCCGCCTCTGCGCGCCGTGCCCTTTCCGACTGCTCAGTGATGCTCCTTTCCGCCTTTGTCAGCCGCTGTTTGAGTGTCGCAATTTCCTTGTCCTGCTCCAAGGCCTTGGTGCGCATCTTCTTGATAGTGGTCAAATGCTTCATCTCCGTCTTTGAGAGTTTCTGCCCCTCTTCCATGAGCGCAGCTATCTGTGCGTCCTTGTCCGCCAGCTTCTTATCCGCTGGGGTCGCTTCCGAGTCGGACTTGGCGGCCTTTGCAGAGGCAGCAAGCTGCTCGGAGAGGTATGTGAGCTTCGACTGTAAAGCATCGATTCGCTCGAGGTGAGAGTTGAGCTCCTCGCGATTATCCCGTAGCGACTCCTCATATGTCTTCTGCAACAGCGATAGCTCAGCCTGCACTTCTTCGGGGTCTTTGGTCTCGGTAGACAGCGTTGCGGGAAGTACGTCGATCGAAGGTCGCGACGGGTCGCTGTCGAAGGACTGGCGGGGAGACGAGGTTTGCGGGGTGACGATGGAGGGTATCGACGGCATGGACATGGTGGGAACGGGCGTCGAGGTCGGTTGCTCGGCTACTAGAGGTGTAGGCGGTGGTGAAGTCGCTGGAGGAGAGACTATGGGCGCAGGTGCCTCTACGGCGGGTTGTGGAGGTTCCTCGACCTTGCTTTCATCCGGCTTGGGCGCCTCATCTTCCTTCACCGTTGTGGCTTCTTCTTTCACAGCTACCGCCTCAGTCGCTGGCTCAGGCGCCTTCGAGTCTATGCTTGCTCTTGGCGATGCGGTGACAGCATTCACGGCTGGACTCGCAGGTCTCGATCCAAGGTCCGACGACGTTCTTGCTTCGGAGCCCTTGTTCACAGCCTTGGCTAGGCGGTCCTGTAATCGAGAGTTGGGTCGGCTTCGTGACGAGGTGCGCGAGATGCCTGTCTCGTTAGCCCTCTGAAAGCTGGTAACAGCAAGTGTCTCCAAGGCCACCCACCTGGTTCGACCGCAAGCTTCTTGTCCGTCGCTGCCTTTTCTGTCGTGTCTGACTTGGCGCCTGCCTCTGTGCCCGCCGGCTTGGTGGTGGTGGTGCCATCTTCAGCCAGGATACCGTCGAGGCGCGACTCGAGGCCCGAGATGGCGCTGTTCCACCAGTTCTTCCCGCTCATCTTGCCTCTACAGCTGCACGTGTCCTGGGGCGATGGGTCGTCTTCGACGCTTCGCTAGCGTTCAGCGTGCACTCGTTCGGCGCTTGTGTCTGTTCATAGCTCAATTGCGCGGGAGGCCAGGCTGGTCTGTTGGCGGTCGTACGCGATCAGTAGGGCTCGCGGGGTGTCACAGCAATGATCATAGGGTGAATGTCGTAGGGTGGATGTTGTCGCAGCTAGATCAGCTCGTATCATCGGAAGGCGGCCCCAATCGCATGCGTGTCCTCTTGCTCCCAAGGTTCCTGCCGCGCAAGCCCTCGAGATGACGGGCGCGGTTGCAGCATGCCACGCGCACGCCGATTGGCCGACCAAATGTTCCGCAACTCCGCTCTCTGCCCTGACGCAATTCCCACCACCAAGAGTTTATGCAGGGGACTTGGGTCCCGGCCATGACTTCCGCATGACGATCGGCGTATGGATATCTTCACTTTTCGATGTCGTCTACATGCCATATGCTTTTTTGGCATGCGTTCCAGATGCAACATGCATCTCACGATGACTGCTACGATTGAACTAGCCTCTAGTGGCATCGCGCCTGCCGTCTCTGACGACAGCAGTATTCTTTCTTTAGTTGTGTTTGCTGCCTTCATATAGTTCAGAGGTACCTTGATTCCTTCCACATATTCCAACACACACAATCAAACCAATCAATACCTTCAAGATGCCTCTCGCAGTAAGTTGTTCCCAGTCATCTCTCGTTTCCTTGCTATCTAAACTGTTTCTAAATGTCCATCATCCCATCGTTGCCAACCTGTACCGTCAATGTATGGATTTGACTCTTTGTAATTCATTCTCTTGACTTGGGTACCTTCCATGTATCATCCCAAATCTTGTTCAATGTTGGCTCTTATCTAGAACAACTCGTGTTCCCCAACATCCCGCCACATCTTCACACCGCTCAAGAGATGGTTCACAACTCGAGATGGACCACTCTATACGAACCCGACCATCAACCACCCATACTAACAAGCCCCAGGCAGTCGGACAAATGCGCTCCCAGGCCTCCATGGCCGACAACCTCAAACAAGCCCAATCCCTCTGCCGCAAAGCCCACGAAGCAGGCGCCGCCGCCCTCTTCCTGCCCGAAGTACACCACCACCACTTCCCACCCAAAATCCATCACCCAAACTAACCCTCCCCAGGCAGCAGACTACCTAACCACCTCGGGCGGTCTCAAACTCTGCAAATCCGTCCAAGACTCCGAATTCGTCCAAGGCCTCTGCGCCTCCGCAGTCCAATACTCCCTCCCCATCTCCGTCGGCATCCACGAGCCCACATCCGACGGCCAAAAAGTAAAAAACACATTAATCTGGATTACGGCAGAAGGAGAAATAAAGTACCGCTACCAAAAACTACATTTGTTTGATATGGACGTAAAAGACGGGCCCCAGATGCAAGAATCCGCGGGTGTAGAACGCGGCGTCCACCTCGGCGATCCCTTCGACTCGCCCATCGGTAAACTAGGCATGCAAATCTGCTTCGACCTGCGCTTCCCCGAACCCGGTCTCGCCCTGCGTGCGCGGGGCGCAGAAGTGCTGTTATATCCCGCCGCCTTCACGACGCCGACTGGAAAAGCCGGACATTGGGAGATACTGATCAGAGCCCGTGCGATCGAGACGCAGAGTTATATTATCGCTGCGGCGCAGGTGGGTGTGCATGATGAAGAGGGGAAGAGGCGGAGTTGGGGACATAGTATGATTGTGGATCCGTGGGGGAAGATTGTGGCGGAGCTGGGGGGTGATGAGGGGGAAGGGGGTAGTTGGAAGGATGAGGGTGAGATTGCGTGTGCGGAGATTGATGTTGAGTATGTGAGGAGTATGAGGAGTGATTCGCCGTTGAAGAGGAGGACGGATGTTTATAATGAGTTGGTTTAGGGCGTTGGACATCGTTATGTGTATTGCATCATGAGGAGTAACCAAAATCTAGAAGGTCTGCTAGGAATGCCATTATACATGCCGTTCAAGTCCAGTCCGATCCAACCGACGACTCGAACACCCTGTCCTACCGACCACCGACGTCCTCCACATCCTTTCCTTCCAGCAACCTTGCCTTCCCCGCTAAACTCAAATACGCCAACTCATGCTCCGCACTTTCAAGCTGCCGCTCAACCCTCGGCCTAACATCACCCAACTCACATGCCATACACTCCGCCAACCTCTCCAACATCGTCGTGAACAAACTCCTGCCACTCCCCTCCTCCCTATGCGGCCCCTGTGTCCTAGGCGGCTCAAACTCGCCCTTCGCCGTCCCCCAACAAGGCCAGTCCCAATCATGCGTGCCATGATCATGGTAGAAGTTCAGTAACGTAGTCTCTGCATTCGAGGTATCGTGGTGCAGTAGCGTGTCTGAGATGAACTCCGGACCGAGACATAGCGCAGCTTCTGCGAAGCAGAATTCGAGTTCGCTGCGTAGTTCGACTTGGTTTGCGTCCATGAAGCGGCCGTATGTGCGTTGGTTTATCCAGCCTGAACCGTGGTAGCGGGCGGAGAGGGTGGCGTGGTGGAGGACGAGGTAGATTGCAACCAGGGGGTCGCGGGGGAGGGATTTGATGTAGGTTAGGCGGTCTGCGTGGTCTTCTGAGGGGAGGTTAGCTGGAGCTGTGCTAGAGTTGGGTTGAGGGGTGGACTGACCGATTGATGTCAGGCGGTATAATAGCAGTAGCCCGGCATTTGCGAGGGGGACGTTGTGTTGTAAGACTGCGTTGAAGTTGTGCTCAGAGCAGAGGGCGTCCATAACGTCATCGACAATATCGTAGTTGTGAACGCAATCGGCCAGCCAGTCGACGTTGAGCCGATCATCCCCACACTTGAAGTCTGTCTCCGCGTGCCGGAGCTCTTTCTTCATGAAGCTGCCAGTGATGGATCTTTCGTAGTTCCTGAAGATGGCACGAAGTCTTGGATGTGCGCTCCGGATAGTGGTAATGAGCGAGCCATCGTTGAAAGGCAGGTGCTGGATAGTCTTAAGGACCAACTCTGGAGGAATTCGCGGGGATATGAGGAAATTCAGATATGTCGATGGATCGGAGAAGGTAGCCATACTGCTATACTGTGGGTGTATGACGTGCTGAATAAGAGAGTGATTGTGTGATGTTGTGTGCTGAGGAGAGGAGGCAAGAAACCTAGAGTTGATCGATGCGGTCGCGACTTATACTTCTGGGGTAGCTGCAGTCCAGACTGTACTTTCTGTATACGTCTTTGAGGGAGTAAACGGCGCGGATTCAGCCTCGGTATATCGTCCCCGCGACAGCTATATAGTCAAACCGTGAAGACCATGATGGGTGACGATTAGCACCATGATGGCGAATCATCCTCAGGATGAGCACGCGTCAGGAGCAAGGTAACGTCACCACGTGTAGTTGCGATTGCGCAGTCTGAGAAGAGTTTGTCGCGTGCTTCACAGTTGAGCTGATAACTGATGCGATTGCCTGTTCGCATCAGTGCGTGTGCAGACGCTGAGACTCGAGGCATGGAATGTAGACTGATCGCTGCGGACAGGCGCTAGGTCAGACCCGCTGATGACATGCCGATGGGAGCGTGGGGGCTAATGCAGGTGATGGGTGCGATTGCGCAATAGGTCCGAAGTGCAGAACACGCGGGGTGCGAGGGGCTGCAAGAGAAAGGCATGTCGAGGCCGGGAGTAGTCATCGAGAGCTCGTGCCACCCCACCGACCAGGCAGCGATCCGCATGGCATAAAGCATGAGAGCAATTCGCAGATAGTAGCTCAATTGTGAATGTGTTCGTAGATATGACAGCCTCAATGCGCCGTGACCCTGGGTATCGTGTAGACTCCGCAAATGCAACATTACATGTCGTGAGATAGCTTCCTACTGCAGTTCTATGCCTTCCCGCTCAGCTGCCTGTAGTATGAAGCTCCTAGTCTTCGCATCTGGCGCGAGGTCTAGCGGTACATGGCCGTCTGTGTCCTTCTTGTCGTGTTCCGCGCCCATGGTGAGCAGCAACAGCGCCGCGTCGCCGTGCCCCTCGCTCATCGCGTGGTGCAGCGCTGTCATGCCATCCATGTCCGTCGCGTTCAATGGACTCTTCGCATCCAACAGCGCCTTCATCATTGGCACACTACCCACCGCCGCTGCCCTATGCAGTGGAAGCTGACCCCTCTTGTCTTTTATCCGTGCTGACGCTGGCGGCTTCTGTGCGAGCAATGTGCGTGCGATATCGAGGTTTACTTTCGATGCGCAGAAATGCAGGGCGGTCTGACCGTTATTGTTCTTCGCGTTTACGTCGGCGTCTTTGGAGAGCAGCAAGTCCACTATTGGCTCTGCATCTTTCCGCGAGCATGCCATCATGAGTGGCGTCCAGCCTGAGCCATCTGTGACATCGGCGTCGAACGACTTGCTTTGTACGAGTGTTTGAACGATAGCGAGGTGATTGTAGGACACGGCCCAGTGTATTGGAAGGCGATCGTCTGGGTCGCGGAGGTTTGCGAGCTTGGGGTTCGCGGCGAGGAGGGAGTCGACTCGGGATGCTGGGGATTGTTAGGCCTGATCTCGTAGCTGAGGGTGGGACACGCACTTTGACCTTCCCGACAGGCCTCGTGAATGGCGTACTTGGCCTTGTATTCCTCCATGGTGTTGCGGATGATGGCTAACGTTGACGCGTGTGTTAGGCAGTTCGCAGCTCGGCTCTCAAAAGTTAACCCCGCTATGGCCGAGGCGTCCACGGGTGGAGATCGCCGCGCCGTGACGTAATCATTTGGCTCGCTCTATGGCTTCGTACTTTCGAAGCCATCTTGTCAACAAAACTCCTGACATTACATGACCCATTCACATTCTTCAGCAATGCCTTAGTCCTATCGTATGTGCTACGACCAAGATGTTTGTTCTAATGCCACACTTCGGCGTTGAATAGTAGGAAAAGCAGCGTGTCCGAAATGCATCATCTCCGTCTCAAATGTCTCGCCATTCTATCGGCATCGCACCAAATGTCCGTCCGCTATAGACCACTCGCTCCCATCTGGAGAGAGTATTTTGCCCTCTGCAGGCTGGGTCGAGTCTTTGCTAAACCTCCAGGTGGTTCCCCTGTATCCTCCGCTACTCTGAAAGCCGGCACTGACTTTGCTCCAGGACGTTTCGAGGACTGACAGGGTGATCGGAAGACTGGACGGGTAGACACCACCTAGTGTCAGATGCTTGATGTTTTCAGAAAGACAGCAGATAACCGCGAGCTGTCCGTCGATCACTTGCTCTCCTTGATACATCTGCTCAAGCCATCGCTCGGCTCGACTTTTTGACGATGATGGAACAAAGTCCCAGATAACTCGCTCGTACTCATTGATTCTACTCTGGAAGCGGGGAAAGAATACAGCGTCAAAAGCCAAGGTGAACTCTGGCGTCCCATTTGTGGTTATAGTGAAGCAATGAATGTGCTTTGCGAGATCTTGACGATCAACAAGCGTCTCGAGTAACAACATCAAGTCCTTACATTGCTTGGTCGAGAAAGTGAGCTCTCGGTAGAGCTGTGGTTCTGCAAGCGATCGATAATACTTTGATGTCATGGAAAGAGCAGACGCTTCCCTTCCGACCAGTTGCTGGATGATCTTTTCGTCTAGTTCGGTTGAGAGACGGTCCATGATGGGTGAGCAGAGGTGAGCTGAAGCGAGCGAGTTCTTGTATTGACTTCGGATGTCGCGGATGACTTGTTGGCGATGGGTCGCTAGAAAGAGCGATGTGTCGCGACTGCGCGTCAGCGGGGTGTGAGATTGAGCTGGAAGTCTTTGGAGAGTATGTCAAAGGTTGTATGCGATAGGACCTGCGCGCTGCTAGTAGAAGGAGCGAATCTGGAAACAACGCGCCTGCTGTTTCAAAGGCACGGACCTTCACACACGTGCTCACGCCCATTACTTAGCAGCGCAAGCACGCCTAGGCAGCGCAAACTTTTCAGGTACTCGAGAAGGCGCGCACGAGTCAGGAAAAGCGAGTATCACACGTCGGTCTTGAAGTGGCGCTTCGACTCATTCTCAAACTTCGGTCCCGATGACACGTCCACAGATCTCAACCATAGTTCACCCCAGTCATGTGCTGCTGCTGGTGCCTGAAAGGGCGAAATATTTAAACTCTCGCCGGTCGCGTCTTGCACCTACAAGCACACATATTTTCCATACATTTCACGCGACGACAACGCATTCTCTAGAGGCACAGCCCGATCAGAACTACTTCCGACATCTACGAACAGCCGCCTATCCACCGCAATCGTCATTCAAAGATGTCGCTCTCGGACCTTTCCACTGAGATCGACGAGATGATCATACAATACCTCCCGCATCACGCCCTTCACCACCTGACGCTTACGAACAAGTACTATCGCAAGATAGCGGAGCCATATCTTTACAGGCACATCCAAGTATGCAGTCCAAACATCCTCTCCGTACCACGTCTTTTGTTGACTCTCATCAGCCGCAGAGAGCTCTCACAGCACATCCGGAGCTTCGATTTCGATATTGCTAACGAGCAATGGGAAGCAGACCTTCACTATCTTAGCTATTACGATCCGAACAATACCATCGAGAAGGTCAGCAAAGACCTCTCCAAAAAGTCATCAGAGGTACAAAATGCTCTCAAGGACCTCGCGTACCTATTGAAAGAGCCTCTGTTTGACGTGACGTGGTACTACAATGTGTCCAGAGAGATATGGACTATAGATGCTTCGCTGGCCCTCATACTCTGTCTCGCAACCAACCTCGAACACCTTCGGCTGATGAACATGAGTTCTGCAATCATTGAAGCCGTCTGTCCCGCACGCTGGCAAAGACTCACCAAAAGCCCGTCCTTGGGAGTCTGGCCACTGAAGAAGTTGAAGAGCCTGGATGTAGTCGTTGGGAAGGATGCGTCCATTCCAATATTGGCACCTGTCCAGACCTTGAAGATCAGCGGCGACCGGAATTCCTGCGATAATCGTTCCCACCATGACTTGCAATGGCCATACAGAGGATCGAAAAGGATTACATTTTTGCGTAACCTGGAATTACGGCATATCACGTTGCATCCGGATCAGCTCCATCGTATGTTGGCGTTACCGGAACTGCATGGTATACAGCACCTGACGATGAAAAATATCTCCTTAGGGGAAAACATGTCGAATATGTACGACTGCAGCCTATTAAGCGAACTGTTGCAGCGCTTTCTTCCATCACTCAAAACTTTCGAATGGACCGGAGAAGAAATTCGACAATATTATCAAAGATATCATCCATTTGGTAGCTTCACCGGTTTCAAACAGTTGGAAGAGCTCGTCCTCGGCTTCGAATCCATACGACCAGCCGTTCACATGCACTTCAACACACCCGCGCACCTTCTTAATCCTCTTGGTTACCTTCCAAGAAGTCTTGTAACTCTCAAGATCACAGAGATTCCTTTACGTCTTCTTTTGTACTTACAGGAAGCATACGCAGATTCCCCGATGAACAACCCCATTGTCAACACGGCTGTCTCTTGCGAGCTCTCAAATTTCGACCTTTCTGTTTTTGCGCCAGGGCGGACTGCCCAGGAATACGAGCACCTAGTGCAGAACGTCCTGTCTACACTATCTTCTGGTCTGAGGGACGGTGGCACTTCGATGCACATCAATCGGGAGTATTAGTTGGATAATACTAGGAAGGTATAGAAGATCAGGAAGCAGCTCGAGATGACACGGAATAGGATAGGAATAAGTCAACTACCAAGACGGCAGAACTATGCAGGCCGATTTCAAGCATGGAATTTGTGGAGAGTGGCGGACTGCGGAGAATAGCTCGTGACCTCGTTTGTGGAGACTGTTGTATGCTACAAGTAGCTTAGAAGACGCATAGACATCTCATACACATGCCATTAGTCATAGCGTCAAGCTGGTCAAATATTTCACTCAAAGAGCGTTCAATCATTTCGATGCTAATGCCTGCATACAGTTTAAGAGTATGTAGTGCTGAAAAGATTCCTGTAACTCCAAACTGACACTACTTAGAAGTTGTGCAAGTAGTCCCCCACAAAGTTCTTGGCCAAGTCCCCGATATCGTGGGCACCTGTAAAGCCCATGTTCTGCACGTAGTCCAAGGCATCGTCTCCAAGCTCAGTCAGTGTGTTTTCAACGAAACGGTGCTATGGTATGTTAGTAATCTTTGTCCTCTTAAACGGTTATTGCAGCTCACTGACCTGGTAAGGCCGGTTGTCCGTGTCGTGAAACACAAGGAAGCGCTTGGTTTGATCCTTGTCCTGTCCATACTGGAAAGACTCATCAACCATCAGTGTGAAGTCTTCACCGCCTGTCTTCTTCGATTTGAACTCGGCGACCTTGTTGGCTTGGACGTAAATGAGACCCTTGGCGTCGCCTATTTATGATTAATTAGCCTAAGGGCATCAACCATGGAAGGGATTGTACGTACCACCAGACTTGACGGTAAACTTGCAGAGCTTGTACTTTTCAGTGCGATTGAACCAGTTCTGGCTCCAGCTGACAGTCATTCTGTTGCTCTTGCTATCACTGAGAAACTCGGGATGGACGTAGATTGTGTCTCCCTTTTGGACGAGAGAAGGCATGATGGAAGGAGTCGTTGGAGTGTAGTGAGAAGTAGATGGTACCGGAGGCGGTTTGTAGGCTGCTGATGAGATGATAGATGGATGACGGGCGTCTTTATACTGTTCAGGCTCAGCTCTCGCGCCTTGATGAACGAAGCCAGCTTGGGTATAAAGTCATGCCAACACTATCTTCCTGCCAATCTATACGCCACGGTACCAATCAAAATTGTATGCTCAACACATGGCTTGCTCTAGATCATTACTATCAGCCAGCTTGGACTCGAAGAGCCTGCGTAGCTGTCGTGAAATACTCTAGTGCGATGAGCTATCGCTGTAAACGTGTAGCCAGCTGTGCAGGTTTCGGTCTTGTCCAGATGAGAGTGACGGAAAGAGACGAGGTTTGCAGACTGCGTGTCGGCAGCTGAATGCGATGATTCTCGGGTATCTCCTCATCGCCCAGATGCCATGTGGCGGCGGAACGGGCTGGCATCCTCCACATCTGACAGGTCCACATCGTAACTTCCAGACTCACATTTTCTACGCATCACCACCCAGTGCACCCCTTCGCTTGCGCGCTTGCATATATCTGCCGAAGCCTAAACTGTTTGTTCCCTAGCCTTGCGTGGCCCTCCACGTTTTCGGGCACCCCGCCTTCTCGGCCACCAAATGGACCCTGGAGGCTTTCCAGCCTCGAGCTGAGAGCGCCACTTCTTAGAAAGAATAGAGTGCGCCTTTGACTCAGACTGCGGTCTGGTCCTAGGTTGGGCTTTGAGATTGTGCTTTGGTATACGGTATGATTGCGATAGCTTTGATGTTGTTCGCTGGAGTGTCTGGTGCGTCAGCGCCACTTCTTAGCATCGCGCAAACAACATATACGCTATGAGGTTCTCGTCTGATGCCTTATGCGCGAGGCCATGTGCGCACATCACAGAAGCGGCCGAGCTATTGCGAAAGCGATCGCATTTCGCTTCAGTCGTCCGGATGTGGAAGCGCTTCGTTGTTCGTTAACCTTTTTGGTCATTGTGGCTTTCACGTAACTGCCGCATCCCCTTGTTTGTCGACCGGAAAAGCACTGAGCTGGACGACAGCCTCGAAGTTGACGCAGCTTGAGCGAGAAGCCGTAGTCGATTGGGGAGTAAGAACATCTGCATCCTCGGCAAGGCATGCCCAGGTGAGCAGCCGCGTGGAAATCGAGCTAACCGAAAACGCGACATTACGTGAACGCGTTCTCTTGGCTACAAGAGAGTAAGCAACTCTGACTCATACTGCTGCCTGATTTTCCCTCCCGACTTTTAAGGTCAACAATCCCCATCTTAGGCGCAATACGTTTCTCGTCCTGTCTTCCAGTCATGGAAGAATTCCCGAATGAGCTGCTCCTCCAAATCTTCAGTCTGCTGCACACGCCGATAACATGCTTCTCTGCGCCACGTGTACCCGCTCCTTCGCGAGACCTCCTGGCATTGTGTCGCGTCTGCCGAAGCTTCAGAGATGTTGCGAGATCGCTCATCTACGAATCGATTGAGCGGGCCGGCGACATGGATAGTCAGGCTTATCGCCAGTTACCACGTACTCTTCTGAAGAACGTGGAGCTGTGTGGGTACATCAAGAATCTGAAACTGAAGATGGAGGACGGCTTCGAGGTAGGCGATTTTTGGGCGGGGCATAACCTGCGACTCGAGAACGAGCTCGATGACGAAGGGGTCGAGGAACGTGCGACTTACGATGCAAAATGCATTCGCTATCAGAGACGGCATCAGAAGATGCTGGATGGCGATGGAAGTGATGTTGACAAAGGGGTGAGCGACGTACCAGAATACACGCCAGAAGGCTACGAGTGGCTCGGCGAACTCATCCCGGCTATGAATAGCAGTCAGGCACATGCCTCTGACCACGACCTTCTTGAGCGCGCTATCTTGGGAGAAGATGTACTACTTACCCCGTGTATTCTTGCTGCATGCAATCTGGAACGGCTTTGGCTCCGCCTCCCAAAATCACAACTGGACGAGGGCAGCTCAAGTTTCGTGCTCAACAGCATTGTCCATAGTGCCAACGAGGGTGGATTCGAAAGGCTCAAAGTCCTTCATCTCGATGCATACCAAAGCGGTATCGAGTGGCCGGTCCGTAATGCGCTACCTTTGTTTCGTCTTCCAAGCTTGACCGATCTAACCATCGGCAATTGTGGTGAGACTGATCTCGGACGCCCGTGGGCTGTTGGACCAGATACTGACGACTCCGCGTTCATGGGAGAGCCTTGGGTGTGGCCTGATCGCACGTCGTCCATTACCAAGCTATCGTTACTGTCCCCGCACTTCAGCGGTTCCATAGTCGCGAAGATGCTCCTTGCTTGCAAGGAGCTCACCGAATTCGAAGTGGTATCACCATATGGAAGGCCACCCTGCGACGACACTTTTTATGAAGACGTCGGCGTGGCCCTGTTAGCACACGTAGAGACTCTCGTCAGCTTGTCACTTGGAGATCAGTTGGCACTAGTTGGGCGCACGCTCTTTCAGAACCCAGGCAAATTCCGCATGGGCAGGCTCCTGAGCTCGCTCACCTTCCTGCGAGCAAATCCGTACATCCTTCTCGGCTACGATCACCCACGTCCGTGGTCTATGGCAATATCACCGATGCTCAAAGATGCTATTCCCGACTCACTTGAGCACCTATGGCTTGATGAGCCCTGCAGAGCATGGTCGTTACATACGTGGCCATACTTCGAAGGTTTGTTTGAAGCCATTCGAAGCGGGCAATTCCCTCAGTTGAAGAGTATACATGTCCATTGGTATCAACCGTTCTCCGGTTATGGGTGCACTATCATCAACCACGTCAGATCCCTGATACGCCTTCGCGAGGCCGCGTTGTGGCGTGCAGGTCCCATCGAGTTTACAGTCACTGTGCGAATAGCCTACAGCACGTCTGGTAAGTGACAACTAATCATGTTCTGATACCCAATCTGGAATGCTAAGCCAGTATAGAGTTTGCAGATCTTGGATTTGAAGATTTCATAAAGTATAACAACATACGATATTCGCCACCACAACCATCACCGCTGGTTTACTGCAGAAGATCAGATGTGGATCACCCAGATGGTCGGCGATATTGCGTTGAAGCTGGTACATGCGAAGTACCTCGCAAAGCCCCAGAGGAGATGCAAGATGATATGGATCACGGCTATTGGAGACGTCTGCCCCCACCTAATTATTGGGATTAAGATGTAAGCTTGTTCACGGGATAGACTTGGGCATTGCTTTTTTGGACGTGCTGGAGCAAAAATGCGGGCATAATGGAGTTGAGTAACATGGTATATCATAGCAATGCAGGTGTATCTCCTAATTACGTTTTTTCACAGTAGGCAGCTATTTATATAGACTTGGGTATATTACAGTCATTCATGCACATCTAGTCTCTACATCCCGACAACGACGGACACAAGACCAACAACAACCAACAGCCCCCAAGAAACACCCATTCCCATGGCCCCGCTATCAACCTCAGGCGTACCGACTTCTTTCACGTCATCGATCTTGCACACGGTTTTGCATCCCTTCTCCGCTCTCTTTCTTCCGAACAAATTGGTGATATCCCTCTTGTTCTCCTGGCTCTTTCCTTCATATGGTCCACTGGTATTGAACGTCATCTCGATCCACTGAATGTGGAATTCAGCACTATCGCCAACATCCATCTCGCCACTCCACTCTCCACCATCACCCCACATGTTCAGGACCAGAAAGCTCTGCTCGCGGGGGACGGAGTACGTGTTTGCGGCGACCTGCTTCTGGTTGAGGTACCAGTAGCTGTTCTTCGGCAGCCAGTCGATGCGGTGTGTTTGCCATTCGTCCCAGCGGGGGAGATCGGTGGGGCCAACGGACGCAGCAGCGACTTCGTTGCCATCTTCGCCTACGGAAGGCTGGTTCGTGTAGCGAATCTGGTCTTTAGGATCGTCGGTCAGGATCTCGATATCGGACTCGTTATCGTCGTCGAAGAAGGTGAAGAACCCTGCGACCGCACCCTTGGCACCCTGAACACGACCGTACATGCGCATCGAAACGTGCATGAGGTTCTTCTGCTGGTTCTCAATCTCTCCAGCCGTCTGGTAGTCATCCAGACGCGATGTTCGGAGTGCGAGGTATGATGTGGAGTCTTCTTCGCCGAGGAAGATGTTCGCGAAGGAGTTGTTCATCGGTACGGGGAAGTCTTCGGTGGCGGGCTTGGTCCAGTTCTGGATGCCCCAATCGTAGTTCCAAGCATCGCTGTTGAACAGATCTGGCTGCCATGTGTTTGCCATGCCTGCGATCTGACTATCGTTGAGAAGCGGCGGTGACTCGCTCATCGCGCCTGGGAGGTTTCGGAAGTCGTAGAAGCGGTAGTATTGGAAGTACTCTGGCGTTTGCGAGTCTTTGCCGGATTGGACGACATAGCAGTCGCAGTCTGGGTTGTTGTCCTTGGGCGCCTCGTTCATGGAGCTGGTGTACGGGTTGGCAGCGAGTGCAGACTGAGCGAGTAGTGCCGTAAGAGGCAGGAGCAAGGCTCCTAGTGGCGGAAGGTATGACATGGCGTTCGGTATGCTTCGAATTTCGTATCGTAGATGTAGTGACAGTATCCGAATAATTAAACAAGGATATGGATATGTAAAAGGACCACGGTTGATCGACGGCTAGTAAACGTGAAGAGAATAGCGAACGAGTGTCACCTAGCCATCAGCAACGAACAAGAAGAAAGAAACGTGAAAGCGCTCAACAATGCTGCAACAAAACTCGACGATGCAAAGAGACGATACCTAAAAACCAAGAGGGTCAGCGCAAACGCGGGCTCCGCAAGCTCATATACTAAAAACGTGCAGCAAAGCCGCTCGCTACTCCGCTTACACGGCACCACCAGTCAGGACAGTCTCGAACACCGCCCACAAGTCGTGCTTTTTCTCTCTAAACAGGCGCGAAGCTTGTCCTAGCTACCTTCGCTAAACTATGTCTAAGCCCAGAAAAAACCGCGCGCTCGAACTGGAGTCAAGGCACTAAGGCAAGTAAGCTGGGCGGCAGAGGCAGCAAAGAAAAGAGGGATATACGAAACGAAACGCGCGACACATCACACCAACGCACGCCATTGTTGGCGGTGGTGGTGCTGCACTCAGCCACACTGCTTCTGGCCTTCTGGACCGTGTGGACCGTATAAAGGACAGGGGGTTAGGGGTCGTGTAATGTTTGCAGCGCATTCCTATAGGTGGCGCAGGGGGAAGGTTGTGATCCGCCCCTGGCTTAGGCTGCTTCGGGGGTCTCGCTAGCCGTGATCCGTGATGTGCCAGCGGGAGTTTCGACGTAGGCGCCAAGCTTGATGTGGCTTGACTGTCCGACTCTCCGGGCGACCCGGGATCGTCTAATAGCGTTGAGGGTGCTGTGAGAATCTGATGTCTATGGAGGGTTCTCTTAGTACATAGGGCGAGGTCGTCTTTGCGGATGAAAGCGCGTTCAATCAAGGGGTGTAGAGAGTGTTGGCTTTGTAAAGTTGTAGCCCGTCATCACGAAACATGACAGGGTTTATGGGTCACCAGCCACATCCCCACATGGCCGGGCGCTAACCGATGCACCTAAGTCTCAAAATGGCCCCGATTCAATATTTCTGAGATGCGGCGCCAACGACCAATACGTCCTGATGAGACGGCCATACGAGCACGTTTTCGCGTCGCTGCCCAGGTGTTTGTCACGATCTCGTATCCTTTTCGCTGGCGCGGGGTCTGGAGAATGCCCAGGCATGGCGATCTGATTATACGGATTGTTGAGGGGTAGGCACGACTGAGCTGTATATGACGTTTTTGGTGGGTGTTGTTGGTGTTGCTGAGCCGGCTATAGTAACGACAACGATATTGCGATCAATACATCCATCGGCCAGGCCCCTGAAAAAATTGCCCGGCTTGTATAGACAAGCATTGCTTCGGTGTACGAATCGGGGCGCCACAACTTGGCAGCTCAACGACTCCTTTTGATCGATCATAAGTCACGCGCGAGTAGACCGGTGATTCGGAGTCGCAGCATTCATTAGTAGCACCGTCGGGTTCGACGTGGCAAAGGCCATGCCGAGTGTCTGGACAACAGGCCTTTCAATATGCTCAAACATATTCGACGCTGTGTTTTATGGCTGACACAAGTTTCTGCAGCAATCCCCAGAGCTCGTTCTCGTGAAATTCACCCCACTACTCGATGCCAACATATATGGTACAGCGCGTCTAACATTAGATCCGACAGCCGGTACAATGTGTTCCTGCTATCTTCACTATCCGATCGAATAGACCGGACGTCACGCAATATCGACCAGCATACTCGATGCCGCGCAAGACTACCATGTCGTCGATCGTCCATCAAACAAGCTCTCAATGAGCAATCGCGCTTGATCACCCGAACCTCATCATTTGATGAGGCCAAATAGCTCTTTCCCTTTGCTACACGACCCACAAACATGCCTCCCATCACTTAAACCACGAGCCTGCGCCGCCCGCTCTTTCTTGTCTTCACACCTTTCTACACCAATCGTCACTTCATGAATCAATACAACATGAGATGGAGGTGGATGAACGATTTGCCAGTGGAGCTGCACAAGTACATTCATGGCTACTTGCCAAAGGCAAAGGTCCTTGAGATGTTGCGGATGTCGAAGTATTACCGCCACATAGCGGAGGAGTTCCTTTACAAGGAGATTTCTTTCCATGAAGAACACTACTTCCAGATCAATCTCCTCTTTCTTGCTATTCTTGACCGACCAGATCTAGCGAAAGGGATCAAACGCTTTACACTGATCCACGAAACTAGCTCACGCGCAGTCAAGCACGGCGACAATGACTACTATCGGGACTCCTTCAACAAGATCACCACTGTGAGAGACATGGTCGACGATATCGGGAGGGACCTAGACTGGGAGCTTGTCATGCGCTGGTTCGGTGACATCTACGCGTGCCGAGAATCGTTCGATGGCGCGTTGGCTGTTATCCTTTGTCTCGCGACAAATCTTGAGCACTTAGATCTCGGGTTCAGGACTGATCGCACACTATCGATCACGACAAAACTCCTAGAACAAGAATGGAGAATTAATCGTAAGAAGCCAGAGATCCGCCCTTTCGGCAAGTTGAAGAGTCTTTGTATCGGCGGAGGTGCATACAGAGCGACACCTGTGTTCCCCTGGATGGAGTCTCTGAGCATCAAGTACGATTACAGGTCTCACCGACAGGGAGTCATGTATTTTCCCTATCGAGGTTCTAGTACGAAGCTACGAATCCTGGAGATGAAGAACGTTGACGCCAGTCCAAGCGACTTTGAGACGCTTCTTTCGTATCCGGAACTCAGCAACCTCAAAGAACTAAAGGTCAGTAGAATATATGTTGAACCCGAGAGCGAATGGAAGGACTACGATCTTCAACACTTGACACACGCAATCGAAACACATCTACCCGACCTAGAGATTCTACATTGGTTCAATGTCGACTGGGATCCAGACTGGACTTCCCCGAGAACATTCGGCAGCTTCAAGGGTCTGTCGAAACTATCAGAACTGAAGCTCGACGCTCACCTACTAGCAACTCAAGATCTCATCTACAATCAACGTGCAGAAACGTTGGCCCTTACACGCCCTGAAGAGTACCTCCCTGACAGTCTGAAAGCTCTACACATCGTATCTTTGAGTGCACAAGACGAACGAGTCGACGCGATTCTGGGGGTGGCCCGTACTCTGAAACTCCAGACCGTTGAGCTGTCGCTCAGCTTGGAGGACTGGGATCCTGGCTATGAATATCGTCCGGCTGGAGTGCGAGAACTACGCAAGAGCAGAAGGAAGTTCTTCCGCGAATCTGTGGTAAACTTGACTGCATTAGGCACAACGATGCGCGTCTGGCGACAGGAGGGCAGATTCTCAAAAGAGGTGCTCTTTGCACCAGGATATCAAAGGCCGTGGCCCATATGGAAGGACATTGAGAGCTTACACTGGTCTAGACATGTTCGCGACGCATGGGAAGTTAAGCAAGGAATCCGGGCTCCTCCTTCAGACGACGCTCTTGGTGATAGTAGCGAAGAGGGTGACAGCGATGTCGACGAGGAAGGAAACATTGCAGGCCAGGGCGGAAACAAGAAGAAGGGCGATGACGAAGAGCAAGGCGATGGCAATGATCAGAGCCACAACCGGGATGAAAATACGGCAGCGGAAAAGGCCAGTGGCGGAGATGAAGGACGCTCAAAGTCTGGTGCGGAGGGTAACTAAGATGCAATTTCCAGCTGTAGTTCCATGTCCATTCTGGTGTGATACCTGACTGCTTCTTTCTGCACCCTAGACTATCTAATCTCCCATGCCTATAGATGACAAGCTATCTACAACACTGCAGTATCAACGGTAAGTTATCCCTAAGGATCGTTATCAAATGATAAAGAAGGCGATTGCAAACGAAGTCACATGTAATGAACTCTTCACGACGACACTTCGATCTTCATCATCATGCATTCTTTCTCTACATGATATACATAACCCAACAACAAACCACTCATCATCTCAACAAGGTATATCCAGAACAGAAAGAAAAGGCCTCAACCTTGCACACTCATCACATACCCATCACCTAAAACCAACACTTTCCATACCCCTTATCGCACCCAAGCCCGCACGCCCAAGGATCAATCGAGCACCTCCCACTCTGCTTGCAGCAGCAACCCATCTCAACACCAAACAGCGTCTTGTAGCCCGCGCACGTCTGGCCACCATTGTGCTCACCGCACTTTCCGTTAGAGGAGACGGGCAGCTTGGTAGGTGTGGGTGTGGCGGTGGTGGAGCAGGAAGTCGAGCTGGGGCGGACGATGGCGGTGGAGAAGGAGGAGGAGGGGAGGCTGGGAGTGGGTGTCATGGTGGAGGTGGGGTAGGGGGTGGAAGCGGCGCTGCTAGGGAGGATGGCGGAGCTGGAGGCGGGGGAGGAGGAAGAGGCGGAAGAGGCGGAGGCGACGGGGCTGCTTGATAGGACGGCCTCGGAGGTTCCGGAGGTGGAGCTGGGGTAGGCGGAGGAGACTTCAGAGACGGCGGAGCTGGTGGGGTAGCTGTCCTTGGACGCGGAAGCAGACTCGGCAATTGAGGTGGAGGAAGCAGAGGCAGCGACGGAGGTGGAGTCGTGCTCCTCGGGCTTCTCAGATACAGGGGTTGAAGCCGATGAGGAGATGTACTCAGAGGCAGAGACTGATGCGGAGATGTACTCAGAGGCAGAGACTGATGCAGAGACGTACTCAGAGACGGACGCAGAAGCCGAAGCGGAAACGGACTCAGAGACGGACGCAGAAGCCGAAGCAGAGACTGAAGCGGCAACGGAAGAAGAAATAGCCTCAGACGTAGGAATAGCCGCGGTAGAGGAAGCAGAGTCGGACTTCTCGCTAGCGCTTGAGACGGCGACAGAAGAAGAAGCAGACGAAGAAGGGGTCGAAGGGCAGTTGCCGTAGACGGAGTTGCAACCAGCACCGCAGTGGTCCTCAGAGGTACCGCAGTATCCCCAAGCAGAGCAGCACTCAGACTTTACGCCCTCGAGAGTGCTGAAACCGACGCAAGTGTATCCCTTGTCTCCACCGCATGAGCCATCGCGAGACTTCTCACCGGAGGTGGTGGGAGTAGCAGAGGCCGCGGAAGAGACCTGGCTGGCGCTTGAGCTAGCATCAACGATGGTGCTTGAAGCGGTGGAGGAGACAGCGTCTTTGCTGGCGCTGGCATCGGCAGAGGAAGAGGGAGCAGGGCTGGTGCTGGCAGCAACGGAAGAAGCGGCGCTGCTGACGGCCTGAGCACCGCACTTTCCGAAGCCAGCCTGGCATCCGGCGTCGCAGTAGACATCAGTGTTTCCACAGTATCCGTACTGGGAGCAGCACTCGCTCAGACCAGCGGGACCGTTGAAGCCAATGCAAGTCATGCCACCGTTTGCCGCACCGCAAGATCCGTCGGTAGTGGTGGGGCCGGTGGGAGTAGGAACAGGGCCAGTAACGCTGGCAGTGACGGTAGCAGAGGCAGAGGGAGAAGCACTGGGCTGGGCGCCGCACTTTCCAAAACCAGCTTGGCAGCCAGTCTGGCAATGGTCGGCGGTGTTTCCACAGTAGCCGTACTGAGAGCAGCACTCGCCAAGGAGACCGTCGACACCGACCCAGCCAACGCAGGATTGAGAGCCACCGGCAGCACCGCACATGCCGTCCTTCGACGTGGGGCCGGTAGGGGTGGGGACAGCAGAAGATGAAGTACGGGTAGATGAGGTGCTAGGAGGAGCGGGGGTAGAGTCGCGGTACCAGTTCTCCTCGGGGTCCTGCATACACTCGCCCATGGTGACAGCCCTGAGACCTTGAGCGTAGAGGTAGTCAAGCATGTATACGGTGAGGTTCTCGGCGGTCAACTGGTGGATGTCGTGGCCAATGGCAAGCCTGTCGCCATCGAAGTATCCTTCGTTACGGGTATCAATGCCCTTCTTGAAGTTGTCCTTGGCGACCTGAATCTTCTCGGGTGTCAATTGGTTGTAGTCATCGGTATCGAGATCGAAGTAAGATACGACGTAACCGAGATCGGCCATAACTTCCTGGCAGCTTCCAGTGCAAGAAGAGTACGGAGGGCGCATATAGGTGGGGTATTTGCCGATGATGTTGCGGATAGCCATCTCGTTCTTGACCATTTGGTCGTATGCCTCCTCCTTGGTGATAGCACTAAGGTCCTGGTGGGACCATGTGTGAGAGGCGACCTGGTGGCCGTTGTCGTACATCTTCTGGATCACACCCGCCCAGTTCTCGTCAATGGCGCCCTTGCCGATGTTGTTACCAGTGATGAAGAAGGTGGCGTGGGCTCCTCGTGCCTCGAACAGCTTCATAACGCCCTCGGTGTAGATGTACGGACCATCGTCGTATGTGATTGCCACGGTTCCAGGGTTGTTGCAGACGTAGATGCCCTCGCCGCCGTAGGGGATGCTTCCAAGCTGGGGGCGGGGGTCGTTACGGGTGCTTGCTCCAGCAGGAGTCTTGTTGGCGTCTGTCGTACTATCAGTAACATGTCCATCGTGCAGAGTAAAGAATTCGTCATACCACATGCAGGACCGAAGTTGAACAAGCAGTCGGGCGCTTGGCAGTGTTCCTGGGTAGTACCGCAGTATCCCTGTTCTACTGTAAGTACACGCTCAATACAGTCTCATCCAATATACGTACGGCGCTTGAGCAGCACTCGTTGTCCGCACACTTTTGGTTGCCGCCATCCGGTCCGCAACGTCCGTCAGTGGACTGTCTGGGACGAATGACGGGTCCTGCCTCAGCAGCATGACCGCCTGAGTAACCAGCAAGAGGGTTGCTGGCCCTCAATTGCCTGGGCAAACCAACGATCCTTGGCATACCCTCCATGCCATGAGCGGCGACGAGCGGTGCTACCAAAGAGGCAGCAGCGACTTGGGAGAAACGCATCTTGGCGAATTAATGTTTACAGCACTAGTATAATAGATGTAGTCGACTTCGGTTGTAGTATTGAAAGCGAGTGTGGTTGACAGTAACGTCAATTAGAATTAGTCGATAAGAAAAAACGAGTGACGGTCGCTATGCGTGCAAAGACGAGCAAGACGAGTGAAGAGCGTAAGGAGAAGAAGCCCGATGTACTTATATCACACAATGCCATAGACGCACCTTCAAGGGCGACTCGTGGCGGCGTAGCTACGAGGAGTGGAGCCCACTAACTGGAAGAAGTCAGCACACTATTATCAGCAGCCAAGAGCGCGGCCCTGGGAAACCTTCTGGGATACGAAGAGGATGTGGAGACGGCATGGTACTGAGACAACTGCGAAGGCGCCTAGTATAAGCCACCACCAAATGCTACAACATGATCTCGCGTCCCCAATGTGATCTTATGTCTTGGTAGCCGAGCAGATCTGGAGGCTTAACAGCTTCCAATTCCTAGGGACATGTCAATCTCGAAGAGGGATAACAGAGCCCGAATCGTCCTGTTCCTGACAAGGCCAAGACCTTAAACCGCTGGGGTCTAAATATATGAGCCGCGATGCTGGTTGTGACCGGCTCCCGTCGCGGATATACTGAAGTGGGATGATCGCCGGCGGGGCCCAACTCAACAATAGGCTAGAGGAGTACTTGGCATCACAAAAACATCGTGCTTTTCACGTGTTGGCTTGATGTGGCGTTCAATGGCGTCTCGCGTAGGAATCAGAGGCCGTTTGCTTTCGGCTCTTTCGGTACGCGGCGCCCATCAGAGAGCTCTGAGATTGAAGGGCTCTATGGAAGCCTTCGCTGCTGGTATGATCGGTGACCGTAGGATAACTCGCAATTTCGATCCGATATCTGCCAATGTCAGTCTGAAAGCACTTTACTCGTGTTTCGTGCTGTCAGCGATGTCAGTGTTGTCAACGAACGGCCGTTGCGATACCTCGTGCCGTGGTATTGGGAATAAGCGACAGCGCACCAGTAACGGTACATCGTCATGCACGCCGTTCGTACGATGAGACTTCGAATCGCATTTCGTCCAGCCCTAAGACGAACGCCTGAATGCCAAGCTCAGGAGAGCAGGATTGGGAACGCCCCGGTGGTCGTCCGCTGGTCGCGATTCGATGCTTGGAGGCCCCTGAGGGCCTTCATTTCCACTGCCAAGCTCGAAGCGAGCGCTGGCGTCCGCTCTCGATAATCGATAATGCCGCGCGCGGCAACGAACCACCGGCAAACAAATCGCATGTGCAATGCGATGTAGAATGTTTGGAGAGCTCGCTAAGGCAACGTGACCAGTAAGTACAGTGTAGAGCAGCCAACTGTTTGATACAGATCTGCTGCTGCGAGCAAGCGGCTAAGCGGCTGCGCTGTTCGCTTTAGCTCCACGGTAGTGACTTTGGATAGCTGCGTTTGTTAGTCGCTCAGTTGTGGCCGGCTAAGGCAGGAGCGCCACTAGAAAAACTTCAGCTGGTCCTTGTATACGATGTTACGAAGAGGTGGAAATTGACGGCAATGCCGAGTAAAAGTGGGTATCATTAAGTTCAAGTACATGTCTGGATAAGAGGTATGGTATCATGGTTCGCGATGCCGACGCAGAAGCACGAGTATGCTTTGTTTAATCATTTCTTCACAATGCGCAAGAGAGGAGCGATCCTCGCTCGTTTGCTCAGCCCGACACGGTATGGCACCTTGCCAGTGTTCGCTGGCGATGCAGTTGTAGGTTTTATTTTTCGTTCTGGAGTCTCTGACGCCGCAGCTGGAGAGGGTTTCGCTGGTGGTTTTGAATGG